AACAGAAAACTTGAGCTGAAATTTGTTTTATACTGATGGTGATGTTTGCATACTGCATCTACTGCACCTCTACTTTTGGCTTGTATTAATATATAATATGTAATGTATCAACTTAATATAACTCTTTTTATTTTAGGTTGAGTATCAGTTAGGATCTGGAGGCCAACTTCTTCCACAGCATTATCTAAATGACCTGGACAGTGCTCTGATTCCTGTGATCCATGGTGGGACATCAGACCCCACAAGCTTACCATTGGAAATGGAATTAATATTTTTTCTTACAGAATACCTCTTTTAATATAAATGACAGCATATATTATACTATGTATAATCTGATTTGCTAGAACTAACCCAACACCAAAGCTGTAATGCTACCAACACTAAAAAATGTTACAATTTATTTAAAAAAATTGTTTAGTAATAGATTTTTAAACTGGGTTTTGTTTCTAAAAAAAATGAACCAACTCTCCTCCATCTCCAGCATAAAAGAAGAATTGTTGAGTTTAAGATTTCCTAAGGTTCCGAAACTTTACACTTAATACTGTCACTGAAAAAAGGCAAAGGACTCATTACCTCTAAGCAAACTGTAGCATTTACTATGTGCATTGTAAGGTTAAGCCATATACCTCTTAAACCCAAGCAAATATTTTAGTAACAGTCTTTATGATTAGATGTAACCTAAATCTGGGACACTCCATGTAGATGTGCAAATGGGCTATATTTACATTTTTAAAAAAATCTTATAAAGTATATTGAATTGGTACAGAACTGTTGCTTGCTTTTGAGATCCAAATATAAAATCTCTGAGGGTTGGCTGCAAACAACAGATACGGTGTACTAATAATACAAGGAATTTGCCTGCACAATTGGATATTGCTTGTCTGGGAAGAATAGAAAACAAAACTTTGCCAAGTATGTTGTGGGTTTTGGGGATTTTTTAAGATTTCATAATTGGACTTGTCCTGACTTAAAAATCAAGACATTTGACATGTTTGTTGGTGCTTTTGGAACTTGTGCTTTTAAACTGAGTCTCTTTATAGTGTAGCTGATTTCCTTATGTATTTATAATGACTTATCTAACTTTGTTGGGTATCATTTTTGTATTACACTAATTGTTTTTCCCCCCCTGTGGTTAAATATACCTTTGTAATTTGGGACCTCCAAGAGTGATTAAGAACAGGCCAGATGACCCTTAAAGTAGTAATCATGTAGCAATAAGTCAGGCATGAAACCTGTAATATCTTCTCTGCTCCCATCTCTAACTTCTGAGACCTCTTGGTAGCCCTGTTTATTTTTCAGGGAGAAAATGTATTAAGTGTGAATTTTCATGTTCGGATTGCTTGGGCATATTTGAGGTTCTTTGTATAGTACATATTTTTGATACTGGGGTGTTAGCAATTAAGAACTAAGATGATGCTTGTAATTTGTGCCTGAGTACAGAGGTTCAGTGAACACCAATCAGGTATGATAACTATTGCATAACGTACCTGTTCACTTTGAAGAGAATCGGAACACGCTATATACAAGACCAAATCATTTGAGTAAAATGTTGTTAGAGTTTTAGACTGACAGATCATTAAAAATCTAAACATCTAGATGCCTTCTTGATTCTCATAGGGGATATTTATATGGTTTTTGTATCAAAAACGCAACTAGTAACTTAAAAAAATAATAAAATAAAAATGTCACCAGCCCTGTTGCTCACAGCTTGAAGACCCATATTAATGGAAACGTTCAGAATTTAAAGTCTTAGGCTAGAAGAAACTAGGTATTTCATTATAGTAATGCACACACTTTTTTTGTTCAGAGATAAATTGCAGTTCTCTGGACCAGCCAAAGACATTAACATAGGCAGCATGAACAAGATGAATGTCCAGCCTTCTGAAAGTAGTTAACAAGAGGAGAGCAGGGACAAGCAGTGTTTGAAACATGAACAGTAGTCAACTGACCATTGTCATGTCCTTTGTCAATGTTATGTACAGTTATAGCAGATGAAAGCAATTTGCAGACTAATTTTCTTTTTTGTTGCCATATTGGTTATTTGAAATTAGACTCATGTCTTAAACTCTTGCCATTTAATGTTTCAATTTCATTTAATAATTATCATTAACAAATAAAACTGACTTGAGTGCTTACCAGATGAGAGAAAATAACATTGTTCTTCTGTTTAAAAACAAAAAACATATATTTGACAAACATTTCCTATATTTTGTCAGTTTTTTCTGTCTTCAAAGTTTCTCTTTGCTTAGTTCTGCTATTGCACTTGGAGCGTAGACTGTTCTTAACAAAGGAATTGCTGTGTTTATTTCCAAATACAGCTGTAGACAATAGCCTGTAACTTACCAACAAATAAATGGACCATCATGAAATGTTTCATAGGCCTGATCTACACTGGGGGGGGGAAGAATCGATCTAAGTTATGCAACTTCAGCTACTTCAATAACGTAGCTGAAGTTGACATACTTAGATCTACTCACCATGGTGTTTTCACTGCGGTGAGTCGACTGCTGCTGCTCCCCCGTCGACTCCGCCTGCAGCTCTCGCAGCGGTGGAGTACAGGAGTCGATGGGAGAGTGCTCGGGGATTGATTTCACGTCTAGACTAGACGTGATAAATCAACCCCCCGCTGGATCCATCGCTGCCCACTGATCCGGCGGGTACTATAGACATACCCATAGTAACTTTCCTGGTTTGGAAGACAACCACATGAGTGACTCCTGGCCAAATACTGAGGCTCTTTTAAGAGAGGTGCAGTAGTATAATCAGTGATGGACATAAAAGAATGGAGCAGAGAGGGCCTCGTGCACTCCAACATCAGGTTAATCAGTTTATGCTTTAATTTTTTTTGTTTTTAGCCCTAATGCCTATGAAAAACACCCTATTAAATGTGAACTGAATACAAACTAGAAGAACAGGAGGACTTGTGGCACCTTAGAGACTAACAAATTTATTAGAGCATAAGCTTTCGTGGACTATAGCCCACTTCTTCGGATGCATATAGAATGGAACATATATTGAGGAGATATATATACACACATACAGAGAGCATAAACAGGTGGGAGTTGTCTTACCACCTCTGAGAGGCCAATTAATTAAGAGAAAAAAACTTTTGAAGGTCGCTCTTAAGCCGCTTGGAATACATCTTCCTGCTTGCCACTC